ATAACGAAAAAAATGGGATGGTTAGGAAAAAAAGGGATTGTTTTCTTTTGCGAGATCGAGAGAGCGAGATCTAGAGAGCGAGATCTAGAGAGCGGTGAAGAAGTGGTGATAATAACGAAAAAAATGGGATGGTTAGGAAAAAAAGGGATTTTTTTTTCTTTACTCCACCAAATTGAGTTAAATTAAATTTTAAATTTATGATTAAAGGAGCAGATTTATATTATGAGGAAGAGATTAAGGAAAAAACAAGATTTTTTTTTTATACTTCCACCTAATTAGATAAAATTTTAAATTTATTATTAAAGGAGGACTACCTAATTAAATTATAAATTTGAATTCTAATCCTAATCAAAATTAGGGGAGATATTAAAGGAGATATTTATGTTAATTTTTCAAATGATTAGTTCAAATAATTAAATAGGAAAAAAACAATTAAGAAAACAAATCTAAATTAAATTTCAAATTTGAATATACTAAAATTAATGCGATTTTATAATTTTAAATTTTAGTTAAAAAAATCTTCAATGCTTAGTATTTAAATTTGAGATTTCGTTTCTCCATTTCAATTTTTAAAATCGTTTCTCGCTCAATCTCGCTTTCGCGCTCAATTCTCTCTCTCATTTTTCTCTTATTCAACTCTCTCTCTATATCTCCTTCCCCATCCCATCGTAACTTTCTTCCTCTCCTGAGCCTCTTTCTTTGACGAACGACCTCCCTCGTCGGCTTTGATGCATCTGTCGTCGGCGATTGTTGAAGGTCATGGGAATTATGGAGGCTGCTATTTAAAAAATGGTTAAAGATTTAGGTTTTTTTTTATGGTTTAATAAACAAGAAAAAACTCATGCTTGCGGAAGACATGGAAAAGAGAAAGAAAGAAGAAAAAAATCTGGAAAAGGAGGAAGATGGAGGTAGGGAGAAGAAATAAAGAAAAAGAGAAATAAGGGAGGAAAATGACGAAAACTAAAAACTTTTGACAGTAGAGGGGCATGAGAGGTACCAGGATTGACATCCACGATTAAAAAACTTAAAAGTACGTCACAGGAAGCTTATTTTGTCAATTTAAGTTATTGCGCTTTGAATCAGGATTGGCATCGACGAATCCCTCCGTTGCAAATTAAGTGATCTGAAGAAAGAAGAGAATCAGTTCCCAGATTTTCGCCGCGTTTCTGAATTTTCCGATCGACAAAATCTCTGCAAGTTTCCAATGGGCAGTGGGAGAAAGAAGTGGCGTACCGATGACTCCGAGCCTTCTTCATCGTCTCCATCCTCCGACGACGATTCAGACACCTCCGCTTCGCGGTCGCGCCGCCATCACCGTGGCGGCGGTTCAAGAAGGGAGAAGGACAAGAAGCGAGAGTCGAGGAAGAGAAAGGACAGGATGAGGGAGAGAGATAGAAAGAGGAGAAAGAAGAAATCGAGAAGGGAGGGCAAGAGAAAGAGGGATTATTTTTCCGAAAGCGATGATGGGTCCTCTGGCGAGTCTGAGCTAGAGAAGGTGAGGATTGAGCCTGAAGTGGTTGTGCGCCAGCTGCTGAAGGAATTTCCTGATGTTGGGGATGACTTAGAACAGGTATTTTCCTCGAACTTTGTGGTACTTGTTGGTTTCATTTTGTTCTGATAATGTTAAACGTTCTCTATTGTTTTGCATATGGGTAGGGGAAGTGTAGTTTTGTTTGAGTTGGATGGCTTGTTTCAAGTAGATAGGGAAATTTTCTTTAATTTTGTTAGGAAACTCAGCAACCAATTCAAAAAAGGACCAATGGGTCACAAAAATATGCATAAGCTTGTAGTTACAAAAATCTTTATAGAAAGAAACTCTTGTAGGTAGGGAGGTTGTTGCTGTGGATCAAGTGATGCATCTCTGTTGAAACAGACTTGTTGTTTAGAGCAAACTTGCCTTCCTTCAACCTCTCAAGCTTAGGTGATACATTGTTGGATGGTATGGACTTGAAACTGGTGACTATCCCAAAAAGGAACAGAAAAAGTCATTTGAGAGGAAGGGGAATTTTAGCTGGGAGTTGAAGGAACCTAATTTCGTTTTTGATTTTTAGTGTTTAACCAAGTGGATTTGACAATTCTACATATGGGTTGACATTTGCTGGAAGAAGGTTAATTTTGAGGAAATATGACAGTGGGTCATGGTTCTCTACCTGAAAAAGTGAAATTACATTAGCTTGAGTAATCTTGGATTTTGCATTAGACAAATGGATGTTCTTTTCAATCTTTGCTCTGAGAACTGAGATTTAGTTCAGAAGTGTAGATTCTACTAGGTTTTAGTTTGTCAAGTTGCTTTAAGGGCACTGGTGTTAGAATACTTTCCTCTTTTTGCAAACCACCCTAGACCATCTTTCTCATAAATGCCTTGTTCCATAACTCACTTTGTTTGTTAGGAAGCCTTTATAACCATTTTCTAATCTAAGCTTCACTCTGCTTCCTTAATTTGCAACCCTAGAATTCCCCATTTTTCTGGGTGATGACATAATTTTCCAGTTGACTATATGGTTTTAGTTTCCATTCATTTTACCATTCCATAAGGAATTTCTTATTTTTCTTCTAAGAATTAG